TGAAGGGCAGAAGATGTAGCTCAGTGGTAGAGCACTTGCCTAGCATTTGTGAGGCCCTGAATATCATTCCCAGCACCACAAAACAAAACAAAAACAACTTGACAAAGGAAAATGCTAGGTGAGCCTGGCAACAGAAAGCAAGGAAGAGCTCAAATACAGTAATTGTGTAAAAGGTCACAGGGACCACATTGAACAAGCTAGTGCTGACTAATTTTGGCACAATGACCATGAAAAAAATGATAATTATCAATGTTAACACACTGAAAAAAATCCATAGTAATTCTAAAAAGCAAGGTTGGGGCTCTTCTCCGCTGTCATAGGAATAATACGAATAAATGACAGAATTAGAAAATCAGTATTCTGCAACACAGTAATAACTAATCCAGGTAATCACCATATTAACAGCGCTGAGTGATGCCATTGGTAAATATTCATACTCATTAATTCCTATGGATTAATAAGTAATCCATACATTAATTACAAAGAGTATGTTTATTTTCCCTTGCCACTTAGAGTTACCATTAATGAAACAAACTAACATTATAACAGGGAAGTATATAAATCATTTATGTAATTTTTGTCTAAAATACTTATTTATCCTAAATTCAATGAAATATTCATAAAAACTCAGACAAAAACAGATTGTGGAATATTCTCAAATAAAATTAGGTTGTACCCTTCAAAATTATCATCTAAGACAAGCTAAGGGAGTACTTTTTCTGGATTAAAGTAGACATGACAAATGCACTATGTGATCCTTGATTGGCTCCTGGATTGTCGGGGGAGAAAAATGACTAAGAATGTTATTGAGAGAACAGGATATTTGAATATGAAAAACTAGCTATTTTTTTATTTGTAGTTGGACACAATACCTTTATTTTTCCATTTGCTGAGGATCAAACTAGGGCCTCATACGTACTAGGCGAGCATTCTACTGCTGAGTCACAACCACAGTCCCCAAACTAGCTATTTTATGAATATTAAAAATCATAGGAGCTAGGGTTTAGCTCAGCGGTAGAGTGCTTGCTTCGCACATGTGAGGCACTGGGTTCAATCCTCCACATCATATAAAAATAGATATATATATTTTTTTAAATCATAGGTGTGGTAATAGTATTTGGCTGTACAAAATAATGTTCTTAGGGATAAAATCTTTACTATATTTTCAAATGATTTTGATTTAGCTAGGACAACACACACATATATTTGCACAGAAAGAGATAAGTGTAGGAAAATGTTAACTAGTCAATCTAAGTAAAGGGTATACAAAGATTCATTATACTTCTGAACTTTACTATAAAGCTGAGGGAGGGGGACTGGGGCTGTAGCTTGATGGCAGAGTGCTTGCCTAACAGGTGTGAGGCAATGGGTTTATTTATTTTAGCACTGCATAAAATAGACATACTGTCCATCTACAACTACAAAAGAAAAAGGCTGAGGAAAGGGTAACAATGGACTTAAACCCTCCCCATGCAGATTAAACAGGGAAGGGAAGAATCATGCCTTCCTTCAGTTGAATGCACTTCTGCACGGGCAGCTTTTCTCTTTAAATACCTCAACCACAGCTTCCCACAGTTTTAAAAGTTAATGCAGACCTGTGATCCCAGCTACTCAGGGCTGGGAATGTAACTCAGTACTTGCCTGGCATGTGAAGCTCTGGGTTTTTTCCTTAGCACTAGCTTAAGGAAATAAAGAAGGAGGGAAAAAAAAAAAAAAATATATATATATATATATATATATATATGTTTGGTATTTATTTTATTAAAAACATAATCTAGCAAAGGAAACAGTACAAACATGAAGTAAAGTGACTTGCCCATCCTGATCACACAGGCACCAAGGCAAGACTGGGATCAGGATCTTTAACCCCCTGTCATCCCTACAATATCTCTATTATTATCAGAAATGGAAAGTTAGAGACAGAAGAGACCAGGTCGCCAGAGACTACTTCTCATTATTTTTGCTCAAGTAAGCTCTGTGGGTTCTGTTTCTAGACTGCCTCCATCCATACCCACAGAACTCTTTTCATGACCCACCCTCCATCCTTAGACTTTATCACACGTCAGTCAAAGCTCTAGGGATTAATCATAAATGGGAGTTGGGCCCTCCTCGAATCTTTCTTTTATACCCTCTTCCCTCCCAACATATCCCTCCCGTAGAAGTCAGTAGCCATTATGTAAGAGGAACTGGGATGAGTGAAAGCAAGTAATGCTTTCGCCAAAAAACTCTGAACAACCACAAATCCTGTTGGCTCCAGTTGAAAATCTGGTGGAAGAGATAAGAACCTTAGCTCTCATCCTCAAGATTCTCCATGTCTATATCCTGGGGGGGTTTAATCTTCTTTTGTCGTTTGGGCTGTGGATCACTAGTCCTGGCTGGTTTTGAAGGGACTTCCACTGAGCAAAAGGAAAGAGAAAGAGTTAAGGAGCTAAATAAACCCATGTTCCCCCTCTCCCTCCTTTTGTGCCCTAGTGTCACCTTCCATTGCTGCCTTCTCTTTCTGGGCAAGCCGGATCTGCTGCAGGAGTTTTCTGCGTTTCTTCCCTGACAGAGTAATATTGGCACGTGCACTGGATCTGAAGGGTAGGTAGGAGCAAAGATACCCAGGTTATACTGAACAACCTAGGTCACAAAAGTATTTCTGGCTATGGAAAGTGTCTTTCTATTCAAATCACACAACTGTATAAGTCTAAGGTTGTAAGTCTTTCCACCTTTAGATTTTAACATACTTTATTTGATCTAAATCTCAACACATATCTCAGGACCAAATATTAAAGATAGTACTTAAACATTAAAGTTTAGTTTGTAGTCGTCGCGTTGCTTGCTCTTGACTAAAACACTCAGGGTTACTCCAGGGGAACTAGGCTGTGCAAAATAACCACACAAGAGACAGAAATACCTTTTTCTTTGGGGGTGCTGTGATAGCTCCTTTGACCTTAAGGGTCCGCAGAAAGAGAGAGAAAGCAGGTGAGCACAGGCTGACCCCTTTTATTGAGCAGAAGCCATTCAAATGAGGCAAGAGGTCAGGTTTCAAGGGGCCCAGTCTAGCTTTATGATGTCTGCTGTCAGCAGGTTGACTGACATCTAGGAAGGCCATACCCAAGGGCAGAGTAAGAAAAGGGGACACACAAAGGGAGTCTCCCTGGAACATTCTATCCCAAACAGGGTAAGGGGTAAAATTCACAAAGGAACAGGTGAGCTTAGCTTGACTCATGGAGCTTGAGGAAGGCATGCCTACGCATGAAGACACATTTGGTTGCATTATTTCTACCCTCAAGATCCGGGTTACCATTTTCAGCAACTTAAAGAGTAGCCAGATCATGGGGGGGGGGGGCGCAGATGACAGTGCCTCAACCAATCAGGAGGGGAAAATTGCTGATTACATGACATGGCAGCCTCCCACATGTAGTAGGTACTCTTAAATATATTTTTAAAATATTTTTTTACTTGTAGATGGATACACAGTATCTTTATTTTTATGTGGTGCTGAGGATTGAACACATGCCTCACGTATGCAAGGCAACTGCTTTGCTACTGAGCTACAGCCCCAGCCCCAGTACTCTAAATATTTTTAAGAAGTCAATGAAAGGAGGTAGAAACTAATTAACAGGGCCAGGTGAGGGTGGTGGTCCACACCTGTAATCCCAGTAGCTCAGGAGGCTAAGGAAGGAGGATGGCAGGTCCAAGCCAGTCTCAGCAACTTAGAAAGGCTGTCTCAAAATTAAAAAATAAAAAAGGGCTGGGGATGTAGCTCAATGTTTGATTTTGCTCTGAGGCTCACTCCCAGGTAAGAAAAAAAAAAAAGATAAATAAAGTAATTAGTGGGCTGGCCAAGATGGCACAGGCTTGTGATCCCAGTGAATTTGGAAGCCAAAGCAGTAAGATTACAAGTTCGAAGCCATACTCTGCAACCTAACCAGACTCTTTCTCAAAACTAAATATTATAAAGGGGATGGGACATAGCTCAGAGGTCAAGCCCCCTGGGTTTAATCCCCAGTACTGAAAACAAACCAACAGTGATTAATGGAACAGGTAGTCTTTCCCAAGACTCAGCAGCGTTGAAACTGCTATGAAAAATCCTACGTGTATCTTTGGGAAAATTCAAGTTATGCACACTTATCTACACACTTTTGTTTTCTTTATGTAATATATGTATATATACATATACTTTTATTTTCCTTATGTAATACATTTTTTATTTCTCTCTCTTTTTTTTTTAGTAACCAGGGATTGAACCCAGGGGTGCTTAACCACTGAGTACATGCCAAGCCCCCCCACCTTTTTTTTGTGGTGCTGGGGACTGAACTCAGGGCCTTATGCATGCAAGGCAACACTGTACCAACTGAGCTATATCTCCAGCCCCTCCGAGCCCTTTATATTTTTTATTTAAAGACAGGGTCTCGCTAAATTGCTGAGGCTGGCCTGGAACTTGGGATCCTCCTGCCTCAGCCTCCAGAGTCACTGGAATCAAGATGCGTGCGTGCCAGGCGTGGTGGTACACGCGGCTCTGGAGGCTGTGGAAGAAAGATCTCGAGTTCAAAACCAGCCTCGGCAATTTAGCGAGATCCTAAATAAAATACAAAATAGGGCTGGGGACGAGGCTCAGTGGTGGAGTGTTCCAGAGTTCCATCCCTGATACCCACCGCCTCTCAAAAAAAAAGGGGGGGGGGGGCGTGCGCGCAGATTTACTACCAATACCTAAATTAATATAGATTGTTACTAGCGCTTGGGAGAATTAACAGCCTTCCTGAGATTCTCATTAGGGTCGAAGATCCAAAGAAAGGCAGAACAGCCGACAAACGTTCCCTACATAAAAGCGAAAGTACAAGGAAAGCTGAGTGATGGCGGCTCCGGAGCTACGGCCGGAGGTCTAGTACTCACGCCCGCTTCTTGAGGTGATGCCGTGTGATCAGCCCTTCGTCTATCACAGCCCCGACCACCTGATGCCTCAGTCGCTTCTCCCGGTTCAACACCCGCCGGCGTTTGAACAGCTTCTTCTTCAGCTCCTGCAAGGGATAAAGATGCGAATCAGGCTGAGGCCGCGCACGAACACAGATACCCAGAACCACCACCGCGGCGATCCCAGTCCCGCATCAATCCCATCTCGGGCGACAGAAGAGGGCTCCCGGAAGCTTGGAGAAACAAAGCAGCAATCCCACAAAAATCACCGTTCGAGGCCGGTTGATCTTCCCCCCTGGACCCCCCATGAGTGCGACCCCTCTCGCGTCCGGGGCACGCACTTCCGCTTCACGCCACTGCCCCAGGGCTCCACCCCCGCCCTCCGCGAGCCAATCGGAGCTCGGTGGCCTGTTCTGGGCGTACATAAGGGAGCTCGACAGGGTTTGCTTCCTTTCGGAGAGCAACTACCTAGTAAGTGTGGGCTGTTCGCTGGGAGCGGGAGGCTTAGCTGAGCTGGTTGTGGGTGGGCTTGCGGGCCTCCTTTTCTTGGCGGAAACCAGGCGTGCGGTCCTGCTTCCCGTTATGTACGGAGGTAGAAGGAAAGGGTTCTGTCCCCTCGGCGTCATGTCTTCGGTGCCGGCGGTTTCCTGTCCGCCGGTTCTATCCTCAAGCGCCGAGACAAGGTTCTCCTTGGAGCAGCACAGGACTGAGGTCCAGCGGTCTGACAGGGTGCTCACGCCATCTTCTTTGGTTTCAGATCTGCGAATACCACCGCAGGAGCGCGAGCTGTCGTCTACCCTCTCTTCCATTCACCATTGCAACCAATAAAAGCTGTTCTTACTGGTAAATCTGTGTGCGTTTTTTGTTGTTTTGGTTTTTGTTATTTTTTCCCTTCGAGGCTGCGGATTTTGGAAAGGCTGTACGCATTTTTCAGTGACACTGAATTTGCGGATCTTCCCTTGAGCTCAGGCCTTGTAGCAGTTCAGAGTGCACTTAAAGGCAAGGTTCTTAGGCTGACCTTGACTTTGCCGGGAAGTCCGGATGGCTGCGCTGCGCCGAAAACTCCTACTCTTGGGGCCCAGCCGCGCCTTGGCGGGTAAGAAAGATAAGTTCCTAGTGACCTGGGGGATCTAGTACCTGAAATTGTGGCTTTTAAAACCCCCGATAGCTCTACGCACTTGTACAAGTCCCTTCTCTCAAACATACATAGGCACTGTTTTTTGCAGCGGTGAGACAGAACTCCAGCACTGGTGACACATATCTTCCTCCACCCTTGTTCATAGGTTCCCTGGCCGGTAGTTGCCTGGCAGACCGCTGCCTCTGGGATCAACTCCATGCTCAGCCTCTGGGCAATGGCCGTACCTTTGACTGGTTCTTTGGATACGAGGAAGTTCAGGAACTCCTACTATCACTACTGCAAAAGGCACCAGCTGCCTCTCCACCGCGGGTGCTGGATGTGGGCTGTGGGACCTCAAGCCTATGCACAGGCCTCTACACCCAGTCCCCATACCCTGTCAGTATTCTAGGGGTGGACTTCTCCCCTGTGGCTGTGGCCCATATGAACAACCTTCTGCAGGGTGGCCAAGGTCAAACACCCCTATGCCCTAGGCACCCTGACTCCTGCCTCCAATTTATGCAGGCTGATGCCCAAAATCTGGGGACTGTGGCTGCCTCAGGCTCCTTCCAGCTATTGCTGGACAAGGGCACCTGGGATGCTGTTGCACGTGGTGGTCTGCCTGGAGCTCACCAGCTGCTATCAGAATGTTTGAGGGTCCTAAGCCCCAAAGGGACCCTAATTCAATTCTCAGATGAGGACCCTGATGTGCGACTGCCCTGCCTAGAGAAAAGATCTCATGGTAGGACTGTGACTGTGCAGGAGTTAGGCCCTTTCAGGGGCATTACCTACTTTGCTTACTTTGTTAAAGGCTCTCATTAAAGATTGTCTTAACCATAGTGTCTTCTGTTGGAAAGAGCTTCATCTTGGGAATATGCATGGCTGAGCTGGGCATGATGGCACATGCCTATTATCCCAGTGGTTTTAGAGGCTGAAGCAAGAAGATCTTGACTTCAAAGCCAGACTCATCAAAGGCAAGGCACTAAGCAATTCAATAGGACCCTTCCTCTAAATACAAACTAGGGCTGGGGATGTGGTGCCCATGAATTCAATCCCCAGTACTGCCCCCTTCCCCCCCCCCAAAAAAAAAAAAACTAGGTGAAAAGTTGAAGGGAAAGACAATGCTTACCCACAAAGCTCCTGAGAAGCAGGAGATGGGAATATTCTACAAAGCAGTTTCTAGAGACAGGAGACTATTATTGGGTCCCAAAAACAGGGAGTGGGGGCTTCCTGATATAACCTGTCCTCAGGAATACAGGGGCATCTTCCTGTTCCCAGCTGAGTCTAGGGATGTTCTAGGGGATATCTGAAGTCCTCTGGGTTCCAAACCCAATCTGAGGGAAGAGGGGAATAAAGAGCCCATTAACAGTAAAAAACATTCCTGATATTTAAAAATCATAAAGCTGGGCATGATGGCTCATGCCTGTAATCCCAGTCAGGAGCTGAAGCAGGAGGGTTTTGAATTCAGAGCATCAGCAAAAAGCAAGGCACCAAGCAACTTCAGAGAGACCCTGTCTCTAAATAAAAGGCAAAATAGGCCTGGGGGTGTGGCTCAGTGATCAAGTGCCCTTGAATTCAATCCTCAGTAGTGGGGTGGGGGGGAGCCTAACTTCATAACTTTGATTTATAAAGAGAAAGTGTCTCATTGGATTATTCTGAAAATCATGAGGTAAAAGTGTATAGCACAGGCAGCCATGGCTTGTGCCTGTAGGATCAGAGTTCAAGGCCAACTTCCGCAATAAGACCCTGTCTAAATAAAAAATAAAAGGACTTGGGGATGTAGCTCAGTGGTAAAATGCCTCAGCTCAGTGTATCCAATACCCAGTAGCTCCTCTTCCCCAAAATTAAAATACAGATTAAAAAGTATCACCCATTCTGACATGAAACTGCCCTCTTATTGTTCATCAGTCTTGTCAACTGCCTAGACTTTTCTCCTATATTTTTCTCTTTTTTTTTTTTTTTTTAAAGAGAGAGAGAATTTTAATATTTATTTTTTTAGTATTTGGCGGACACAACATCTTTGTTTGTATGTGGTGCTGAGGATCGAACCCGGGCCGCGCGCATGCCAGGCGAGCGCGCTACCACTTGAGCCACATCCCCAGCCCCTCCTATATTTTTCTCTACCACATTCATTTAATACCTTGTGAAGAAGGGAATGCTGAGGATCAAACATGCTAAGTAAGCATGCACTTTACCGCTGGCTACACCTGAAACCCCTTTCTATGTTTATTGAGTACCAATATGTGCTTGGCCCTGCTATCTGCAGGAGACAGTGAATGCATTTTGGCCCACTCTAGAACATCCAGATCACAGTATCCCAACTGAAACAGCCACCTCCCTTACCTGGTTCTACACTTGGTCCTGGAAGAAGGCCTCAGATTCTTCCTTGCCATCAGTGAGCAGCTGAAGTTCCTTTGACCATTGGAGACCACCACCATCTTCATTTGCCTCCGTGGCTTCCACCACAATACAGGACAGGTGGAACTTTCAAGAGACAACCTAAATAAAGACAATGGGAATGTTGTGCACAAGTTGATTATGAGCCAGCAAGCAGCAGGACACAAGTTGAGGACATACTAACCTGATCGGTTATCTTAAAACTGAGATTGTTGCTATTAGGAGTCACATTTTCCAATGGAGAAACCTGGGGCAAGGAACTTAAATGATTTTCTTAGTAGATATCCAGTTTGGGTATTTTCATCTCCGAACTAGAATTTGGTATATTACACAAGTTCCACAGACTTCGTGGTTTAAAAGTAAACAAACGTCAACACCAAGTGTATGTATACCTTGAGGAAAAGTATTAACAACCTATTTGTAAGATAAACAAGAAATAGAAAATTATACCCATTCCCCACCTAGTATTGAGTTGTTTCAGAGTTAAAAGGATTGGGAGGGGCCAATTGATTGATGGGTGTAAATATCCGGAGGAATACTTTGTGCTAATTTGAAAACAGCACAATACTACAGGAAATGAAAGCAGTTCTATTTCTGATTGGAAGACTTCAGAGGACAGAAAATGGGAAACTAAAATCCACAATAACCATAAAGACATGCATTCTCCTCCTAGCTTCTAGGCATCCTACTCTGGACAATGGACCCGGTGCTTAGTCCTTGGTGCCAACAATTTTTATTTTTATTTATTTGATACTGGGGATTGAACTCAGGAGCACTCGACTACTGAGCCACATCTCCAGCCCCATTTTGTATTTTATTTAGAGACAGGATCTCACTGAGTTGCTTAGCACCTCGCTTTTGCTGAAGCTGGCTTCGAACTCATGATCTTCCTGTCTCAGCCTCCGGAGCCACTGGGATTACAGGCGTGTGCCACCGCACCCGGCTTGTGCCAACAATTTTTATATTATTATCGAACCTAGATGCGCTTTACCACCAAGCCATATACCCAGGGTCTCTAAGTTGCTAAGGCTGGTTTCAAACTTGTGATCCTCCTGCTTCAGGCTCCTGAATCCATGGGATTACAGAGGCGCTCCACCGCTGGGCCGCTTACCAACACTTAGAAGATTTGCTCAACGTCCCCAGGTATTTAGACCCAAGCGCTCAGGATTCTAAATGTTTCTAAGGCCAGGCTCTCTATACTCCGGCTGCTTCTCTATGGTTTCTACGGGTCGCTCTAGCCTGCGCAGGGGCCGATGAGACGTCGTAGCTACCCTCTAGGCTGCCGTAGACTACGGAGGTTGTCTCGTTGGTTGCACTCAGCCATGCAGAGTGTGCAGAAAGTGCTGATGGTAGTAGCGGTGCTGGGCGCTGGGGCTGGCGTGGGGTCCGCGCTCTTTGCTCTGGTAACCCCAGGAGAGCTGCAGAAGCAGGAGATGCTGAAGGTAGGTACAACTGAGAATTCTGAGGAGGAGCGGGCGTACGGAGAACCCTGGACTGGTGTCCTGGTTTGTGAACTCCCTTCCTGTTCCCAGGAGATGCCCGAGCAGGACCCTCGACGCAGGGATGAAGGGAAGAGGAACCAGCAGCTAGTGATGGCCACGCTGCAGGAGGCCGCGGCCACGCAGGAGAATGTAGCGTGGAGGAAGAACTGGTTGGTTGGCGGCGGCGGCAGCGGCGGGAAATCAGCGTGATGCCAGACCTGTCCGAGTGGGTGCTACGACCTTGGTTGGAGCGCAGATCACAGCCTTTCAGCTCCGTGAAACCGGCGGGGAATATGGACCTCGGATGCCGCACTCCAGGTCCCGGAGAGCGGCCGCCGGGTGAGCATCGTACCCCCTTCAACTCTGCGCTGATTGTGTTAACGTCCACATCATCCGCCAAAGTCGTGTCCGGGGTCGGTTGTGGTGAACAGAGAGAACCAATAAATTCTGTGCCACCCAAGTGAGCCGTGCAATCGCACGCCTACTGGTGCTGAGAGATGTGCGGGTCATCGCTCCAGCCGGCTTGGGGAGCTCTGCTGAGCAGGGCTCCGGCCTGCCCCGCCCCATAGCCTGAAGTTCTATGGGCTTAGTAACCACATTTTCAAAACAGGTCTTGTTATGTAAGCGTTACTTCTGGGGAAAATCAAGCGACATTCCCGAAATCGAAACTATTCTGGAAAAGCTTGTTAGCAATGGATACTCATAGATGACATCTGTTCTTTGAGGGAGGTTGAAGAGGGGCATCTAGCACATATATGCCTTCTGTGGCCATTACTTAATATCTGGTTAAAGAGGTTTAGAGAGGCTGATTTACTAGGGGTGGTGAAAGAAGCATACTTTTAGTCAAGATCTCCCGAATGTTACAAAACCTGAGTCTGCCCTATTTTGTAAAAGGCCATAACTATCTCCAGGATTATCAATAGATTATCCCTAACTCTGTGGCTCATACCTGTAATCCAACAGACCTGGGAGGCTGAGGCAAGAGGATCACAAGTTCAAGGCCAGCCTCTGCAACTTAACGAAACCCTGGCTGAGAATGTGGCTTAGTAACAAAGCACCTCTGGGTTCAATCCTCTGTACCAAACAATATAAATAAATAAAGGGGCTGGGAATGTTCCTTCATATTACTCCTAGGTTCAATTCTGGATACCTCAAATAAAAAAAGGCTAGCCTGCATGATGGTGCACATTTGTAATCCCATCGCCTGAGGAGGCTGAGGTAAGAGGATCTCAAGTTCCAGGCCAGCCTGGATAATTTAGTCAGAGACTGTCTCAAAATAAAAATGAAAAGGACTGAGATATTGCTTAGTGGTAGAGCATTTGCCTATCATGTGCAAGGCCCCAAGTTCAATCCCAATACTAGATGGGGTGTGGGGGAATAGATTTAGAAATGTAAAGGGCCTGACATAGCAATGTAATGGGTCCTCTCCCCTCTAAAGGTTCACACTGTAGTTCTGAATCCAGTTATAGGACCTATTGGAAATGCCACTGAGAATGAGATAAATCACTGGGGTTGCAGCCCCATTGTAGTCAGGTCACTCCCCTATTTATTTTTGGTGCTGGAGATGTTTGAACCTAGGTCCTCAGGCATGCTAAGCACATGCTCTACTAACAAACTACACCCTCCAGCTTTTTTTTTTTCTTTAGTTATCAATGGACTTTATTTATGTGGTGCTGAGGATTGAACCCAGTGCCTCATGCATGCTAGGTGAGCACTCTACCCCTGAACCACAACCCCGGCCCTTCCTTTGTTTTATACCCTGTGATTCCCAAGCAAGATTGCAATTGACAAAAAACACTGCTTTTATTGAATTGAGTCAAAACAATAAATAAAAGTTGTATAACACTGTGATGAACAGTTTATAATCAGAGATGAATGCTGGTGCTTTTTTCAGCTGCTGGATTGTAGAGTCATGTTCAATACATTTGTTGTGATCTTTATGGTGTAACTGGCCTCTTCCGTATGCCCAGGAAGTGAGGAAAAAGTCATAGCTCTTTGACAGGAGACTAAACTGATGTAGCAGCAGTCAGAGAGACCATCATGGCTTGGTGAGTCAGGACCTGAGCTCTAGTCAGTCTTCTGGTGGGTATGCAGGTTCTAAGAAATTGCTACCAGTGTCACTTGGGAAAGCAAATTGTGCTTTGGTATCCTGGTCTCTAAGTGGGGACAATTATACCAACACCTAGATAACAAATATTATCTATGAAGCTTAAAACTATGTGTAATCCCAGATACTCAGGGAGCTGAGGCAGGATTGTGAGATCAAGGGCAGCCCAGGCAACCTAGATGCTGTCTGAAAATAAAATTTAAAAAGGGCTGGGTGTGGCTGGCACAGTAGCACATGCTTGCAATCCTAGCAACTCAGGAGGCTGAGGCAAGAGGATTTCAAGTTTGAGGTCAGTCTCAGCAACTGTCTCAAAAAGAGCTGGGATGTAGCTCAGTGATAAAGCAATACCCAGAACAAGGTAAAAAGAGAGCTGAGAGTATAGCTTGGTGTTAGAGCACTCGCCTAGCATGTACAAGGCCTGGGTTCAATCCCTAGTACCAAAACAAAACTAATCTCCCCTTCAGAAAGTGTATTTGTGAAGTACATAATACCTTCGATTTTTGGTATTGAGGACTGAACCTAGGAGCACATTACCGCTGAGCTATGTCACCATTCTTTATTTTGACATAGGGCTTCACTAATTTCCTTAGGTCCTCCCTAAATTTCTGAGGCTAGCTTTGAACTTATGATACTCCTGCCTCAACCTCCTGACTCATTGGGATTACAGGCATGTGCCACCATCCCAGTTTAACACCTTTTAGTGTCTAGGAAAGCAGCAAAATATGGCTGACATATTCCTTACAACAGATGCACTTGCAAAGGTCACTAACCTTCCTTTCGATGATTATGGATCACCACTTTAAAAAACTAATTTTAGTTGCTAATATTTACTGAGCACTTACTAGGTGTGAGGCACTGTGCTCAAGCACATGTCAGTTATTGTGTAACCCTTAGGACAACCCCAAGGAATACTATTATTCCTATTATTATAGTATTATTATTCCTATTCTACTGAAGAAACTAGGTTTAAAGAAGTCAAGGCACACAACTAGTCAGGATTTAAAGTTTATGCACCACTTTACCTGTAGGAGCAAAAGTCGCTTTTGTGATGCATTCTCTCCTTCCCTGGCTTGGCACCTCTTCCCTCCACCTCTGAGGCAGCTAAGACCCAAAGATTTAGAAACAAGTCTCTGTTGGAGAGGAAAGGGATATTTTCCAAGTGCCTTCCCTTTAGCTTCTTTCTCTTCCTTGGTTTTGTCCCTCCCAGCCACTCAGGAAGGAGCCAGGCATATACAGAACTCAGGGTCTATTTATTTGGAAGGAGATGTCAGTGCTTTATCAAAGATGAAGAGGTCAGAGAATGATGATGAAATAAAGGCCCCTCAGCTGGGACATTTCTTGGCCACAATGAGGACAGCAGAAGGCACAAGTCCTAAAGATGGGGGGGAAAAAAAAGGCTTGAGCCACAAGAATACTTGTTTTTTGCTCCCCAAACTCCTGGATTCATGCCATCCCCACAAATCCCTTCTTTTCCCTCCATTCCTCCAAATCCTGGCTTCTGGTCTCACATGCCATACCCAGCTCCTGCAGAGGCCGTTCCATGTCAGCTTCTGAGAAGGCCCGTCTGGGAAAGCCACTAAGCAACTGCACTGGGTCCTGGCCCCCTCCAGGTTCCTCCCCGCGGTGGAGCTCCACATAGAGCCTCACTGCTGCCAGCTGTTCCCGAGCCCGAAATGTTTGGGTCAGTGAAGTTCCATCTGGCAACCTGACCTAAGGGCAAGAGAGATTTCCAGTACTGTTAAGCACCAAAACCAATAAGGAAAAGAGTTAAAGTTGGCCCCTCCTTCTTCTTAGACTAAATCAGTATACCTACTATTTAAAGCACTTAATGAACAACCACTTATGCTCTGCCTTACTAAGTTTGAACAAGTGGCCCCAACTTCCTTGCAATTCAACACAGACAAGATTATAAAAAAAATTTCAGGATAAATTCCACATTGTGAAAGCAGCTATGTAATGAACCAAATGAAAACAATGTAAGTAAAAGGATAAACGCTGAGTAAGAGGGAGGTATGGATTTAAATATGACTGGAGCAGGTGAAATTTGATCTTTCCTAAGAGTGGAACAGGTAGGATTTCAAGTCATGTACAAAGAAGGAAGAGATTTGGCAAAGGGAATGTAACTGAAATAAGCTCTGAGCTGGGCTCCTTATAGGTCAACAAAGGGGTTACAGGAGCAAGACAGGAATCAGAATCAGTACCTGTATGCGACACTGGTCATATTCCCGCTTGGTAGGAGGTTCCTGGCTGGGAGAGGAGGGAACAGGACCTGGCTCTGACACTGGTGGGGATGGCCGAGAACCCACACTACCACCATACTGGAGAACAAAGTAAAACAGGAGTCAGGCACTTACCCACCCTCCGGAAATGGGTGGTATGGATGGTATTTACTCATGTTTCCCCTTTGAAGCTGGAAAAGGGTTTTAGTGTGCCTTTTGCATTATAATCACTGTCTTTTCAACACCCACCTTCTTGGCTCTCTCTGCTTTGTCCCTTTCGATCTTTTCTCGAACCCTCTGTCTGGAATGCAGACAGGAAGAAAATAGGTCAGACCTTAACAAACCAAATGTTGATTTTTTTTCTCCTGTAAACCAACATGCCCATCACCCAGACCTGGCTGCTAACTCTTCAGCCTTTTCCCTCCTCCGCTCCTCAGCAGCTCTGCGCATCTCATCTTCCTGTAGTCTCTGGCGTGCAGCTGAAAGCTCTTGACCTTGTCTCCTGCGCTGTTTTTCTCGCTCCAATGCTTCCCGCTCCTCCCTTTCTTCACGTTCCCGCTGCTTCTGGGCCACCAGCTCCAACATCCTATGTTGCAGAAAGGACACAGTTCAAGAGAAATGGATACGCAATATGAAGGGACAGAACAAAATTGGCTGATGTTTCCCAAAATAAATGAATGAAAGAACAGGGGTAGCAGTATAGCTCAGTAGAATAAACGCTTAGCATATTGAAGTTCTAGATTAAAAAAAAAAAACAGAGAATAGAAAAAAGTCAAGGTTCTTCAACCAGACTTGTGTATGTATTGGGGAAGGGTGGAAGATAACCCTCAAAAAAGTTACCTGGGGGCTGGGGATATAGCTCAGCTGGTAAAGCAATTGCTTAGCGTGCACAAGGCCCTGGGTTCCTTCCCCAGCACCATCAAGGAAAAAAAAGCTACTTTACCTCTTGGTCTGTTCTTGTCTTTCCTCTTCAGTCAAAACGGGTTTGCTTTCTCCGGCAGCCGTTCCAGGTCCTACAAAGAACCAGTATTATTACCCCCCCCGTCAGCTCCTCATGTCGGGCCCGCCTGAATAATCACATCACGTCTCCCAGTGAGAACCTTCAGGGCCAACTTGTTCTGAGGGGGTGGATTCCCGTCCTAGGACATGTCCAAGAGGAGTCTCTAGAGGCTCATCCACGTCGGGGTCATCTTCGTGCTCCATCAGCCTGGCAGGGAAATCGGCAGTGAGGTCAGCATGAGACTGCTCCTCCCAGCAGCCCCCAATCCTCCGCCACCGAGTCTGAAGGCTCACCAGTCCATCGCAGCCTCGATGCCCTGGTTCCCTGTGAGGGCCAGAGCCTTCTCCCTGCGGGCAGAAACACCGTGAATAGCGCCTACGGACCATGGTGACCGTCAGGACGGGGCTAGGCTGGGGTAAAGGTCCAGACAGGTCCGCGGTCCCCAGCCTGGCGGGCCGGGGTTGGGTGCTCCCTTACGCGCGTCCCCTGGGGAAGCCCATCTCGATGAGACTCTCCAGAGCCGTCAGCTCCGCCATGGCGCCGCAGCCGCCGCTTCCGCGGGGACCTGATGTGGCAAGAAGGAGGGTGGGAAAGGTCAACGCAAGGGAACCCTGCGCCCGATACCACCGATCGGGCGCTAGATCACTCACCCGGCTCGGGACCCACCGGGGACACCGACAAGAAGAAAGGCGAAGGGAAGCGGAAGTGCCCGAATCTGTTTGGGTCACGTGGGACTGGCGTGGACGGATGCCGCCGAGTGCCAGAAAACTCTCTGGCCCGCCTCCAGAATTTTGCGCGGGCGGAAGGAGACCTACCAAATCCCAGTGCTCCCCCACAGTGCGGAAGAAGCGCCCTGAGGCTTGGAAACCCAAGAGCAGAATGAGGCCAGTTCCCGGAGTTTCACACTGCTTCGCCTTCCTTAAATATTAAAATTGTGGCCCTTAGGTGCAATCGTTTGGAAAGTTGTTTGTCAGTATTTCTCAGGAGCCATGGAAATGGGCATGCGCTTTGATCCACTCATCTTCGAGGAATTGAGCCATCCTGTGCCCGATTGCCAAAAGGAATCTTTGCAATACACAGTACCTGAACCTGGATCATCACCTCCCTGCTTAAAGTTTTTCCATGTCACCCCCGTCATCTAGTACAAGCCCAAAGGCTGACTTTCTCTTGCCCCCATGTTTTAGTTTTAAGAGCCCCATCTATAAAATGGACATAATGATGACAGCTATGTAGGTGCCTCGCAAGACGGTATGGCATAAATTATGGTAGTTACTGCATAGTTTCATTTCCTTCAAATTGAGGATAATCTGTGCATGTTGTGAAACAGGCCCTACACCTCATTTTGGCCTTTGCACCTACCAGCTCCTCTGCCTGAGATGTTTGGCCTCTTCTCTCCACTTAGTTAACTTCTAGTTGTTTTTCAAGACTCCGGCCCGCAAGTTCAAGGCGAGCCTCAGCAATTTTGTGAGACACTCTCCCCACCCCCAAGAAACTGAGTGAGACCCTGTCTCAAAAAAAAAAAAAAAAAAATTAAAAAGACTGGGGGATTGGGGCTGGGGATGTGGCTCAAGCGGTAGCGCGCTCGCCTGGCATGCGTGTGGCCAGGGTTGGATCCTCAGCACCACATACAAACAAAGATGTTGTGTCTGCCGGAAACTAAAAAATAAATATTAAAAAAAAACTCTCTCTCTTAAAAAAAAAAAAAAAAAAAAAAAAGACTGGGGGATTGAGCTCTGTGGTAAAGCTCCTGTGGACTAAATCTCTAGTATCCAAAAATAAAATTTACAAAATATGTTTATTTAGGAGGTAGAATAATAATAATAATTATAATAATAATAAGTTATTCATATTGACTGACAGGGTTGTAGCTCAGTGGTAGAGCACTTGCCTAGTGTGTGAGGCACTGGGTTCAGTTCTCAGAACCACATATAAATAAAAAATAAAGGTCCATCAAAAAAAAAAGTTACTCATATGGAAAATATATGTATGTAACAGGGTTCACTTGATACTTTGACTATCTCTTGTGGCTTTGAAACTTACATGTTTTTTTTTTTTTTTCTTTTTCCCAATCTTCTTTTCCCTAACCTTCTCCTTCCTGACCGCCTCTCTGATCTTCTTTTCCCTGATCTTCCCTGATATTCTTTTCCTTAAACTTTTCCTCCCCAATCTTCTTGATCTTCTTTTCCCTAATCTTCCCCTTCCTGACCTCTTCCCTGATCTTCTTTTCCCTGATCTTCTCCTCCCTGTTCTCTCCTCCCTGATCTCATTTTCTCTGAATCACCTCTATAAAAGCCCCCTCTCAGGCTGGGGCTGGGGCTCAGCAGTAAAGCTCTCACCTAGTATATGCAAGGCCCTGGGTATTGTGTCCTACTACAACTAAAAAATAAATATTAAAAAAAAAAAGAAAAGAAATAAAAGCCTCCTGTTCCTGCAAATGAGCAGAATCACAGCCTTTGGGACAGGAGTCCCCTGTGTTTCTCCTTTGCTAGCAAAGCAATAAAGCTTTTTCCTTTTTCTCAAGACCTTGTCTTCATTATTGTATTGGTTTCAAGGACAATGACCGAGCTTTCAGTTACATGTACTTGAGGCTTAGTTGATTAACTCATATTTAATCATCATAACAGTCCCTATTCTGTATTATTATTAGTCATAGGAAACAGGCACAGAAAGATGAGATAATTCATCTAAGATCATAAAGGCAGTAGAAAGTAGCAGAGCTAGAATTCTACCATGCATTGTGTTTCATTAAACCTGTATGCTTTGTTGCCCCTCTCTATGGTAAAATGAAGAGCTTTTGATTTGGGCAATTTAAGCAGGAATCCTATCTGAACTCCTTAGTTGTAATTTCAAACCCTTTAGGACTTCAAATCTCTCATCTTTGAAAAGGTGATACTATCTCTTGGAATGTTCGTGGTAAGGCTTAAGTGAGAATGCATGAAAAGCATGTCTTTACTAATAATAGAGTGGGTGTCCTCATTCATAAGAGAATGATTGCTGAGGAAATAGTCATTAAATAAAAAGTCACAAGGTAATCACTACAATGTAATGCCACATGTGTTCTAGATAACAATCTAAATTTATTCTAATGGGGGCTGGGGATGTGGCTCAAGTGGTAGCGCACTCCCCTGGCATGCATGCAGCCCAGGTTCGATCCTCAGCATCACATAGAAACAAAGCTGTTGTGTCCGCCGAAAACTAAAAATAAATATTAAAAAATTTTCTCTCTCTCAAAAAAAAAATTTATTTTAATGGTCTAATCATTTTAAAAATGATCAAATTTTAGAGTATTGCCTATTTCAATTACTTCCAGAGGTGAATGCCTTCTCCTGGGTACTTAAATAAACAGGTGAGGATACACAAACAAGGATGTCCTTAAAACCACACTGAAGAAAATTTAAATGTTCCAACAAAGAGTGATGACTAAAGTTCTTTAAAGTACATTCTTTTGTAGGAAATCATGAGGCCTTTAACATATAAGGAGGTTATGATTTGCCAATGTTCAGCATTGTCTATGACTGAATAATGAGTGAAAAACAAAATATTTGTACTTTGTAAAGAATTGCTCTGCTTCTGGGAGGGGTGGTACCTTCCTGTAATCCTATTAGCTCAGGAGGCTGAGGCAGGAGGATTGTTAGTTCAAAGCCAGTATCAACAACTTATCCAGGCCCTAAGCCACTCAGCAAGACCCTGTCTCTAAATAAAATATTTAAAAGGGCTGGGGATGTAGCTCAGTGTTTAAGTACCTTGGGTTCAATTCCCAGTACCCAAAACAAAACAAAACAAAAAAAACTGCTCTACTAAGGGCAATTATGTCTTTTGATGCACATCAAACCAAAAGCCTTGTGCATGCTAGGCAAGCACTCTATGACTGAGCTATATTCCCAGCCTAATGGCTTTTTATGTATGTATTTTTTTTTTTACATGGGGATCTAACCCAGGGCCTCTTTCATACTAGGCAAGTGCTCTAGCACTGAAGTATACCCCCAGCAAGGGCAATTAAGGAAGAAGAGAAGTTTCACTTTGTATGTGTCAGTATTACTTGAAACTTGTATGTGTTTGTTTTACAATTAAATTTTTAAAAAGTTAGGGCCAGGGTATAACAGTGGTAGACTGCTTGCCTAGCATGCACAAGGCTCTGGGTTCCATCCCCAGCTCTTCCCGGGTTGAGGGGGAGGAGTTGTAAAACCAGTAAAGGTGAGGTTTATACTATGTAGCAACACAAAACAGGCTTTTCTATACCCAGCTTTCTTTTTTCTTTCTTTCCTTTCTTTCTTTCTTTCCAGTTCTGGGGATTAAACTCAAAGGTGCTCTTCAACTGACCTACATTCCCAACACTTTTTAATTTATTTCATTTCATTTATTTACTTATTTATTGTGGTGCTGGTGATTGAACCCAGGGCTTTGTACATGCAAGGCAAGCACTCTACCAACTGAGTTTTCCCCACCCTTTTAAAAATATTTTTTTAGTTGCAGATGGACATAGTACCTTTATTGTATTTATTTATGTGGTACTGAGACTTGAACCCAGTGCTACTCACATGCTAGGCAAGTGTTCTGCCACTGAGCTACTCAACCCTATCCCCCCCCCTCCTTTTTTGAGACAAGCCTTCCCTAAATTGCAGAGGCTGGCCTCAAACTTGTGATCTTTTCACCTCAGCTTATGGTAGCTGGAATTATAGGTGCTACATTCACTTAATTTAAAGATAAATTCAAGATGTGATTGCCTGAGGCATGCCTGTAATCCCAGTGGCTTGGGAGGCTGAGGCAAGAGGATCACAAGTTCAAGGCAGCCTCAGCAATTTAGTGAGACCCTAAGCAATTTAGCAGGCCCTGTCTCAAAATAAAAATTAAAAGGGCTGGGGATGCGGCTCAGTAGTTAAGTGCCCTGGATTCAACCCCCATTACCAATAAATAAATAAATAAATAAATAGAAAGTATGTATATGACTATGAAAAATAGATATCTACACAGAGAATTGAAGGGATCATGAGAAGTGACAATTTCTTTTAAATTTCCTTTAATGTTATCACAGTTGGTATACAATAAACACAAATGGGGGATTCCTTGATATTACTGTTGATTTGTCTTATTTTAATTAGCAAGAGCACGAATGAACTTGTGCCCGACAAAGGCTCGGGGCTTCCTTCTCTTCTGTTATCCCATCTCAGTCCTTAATCTCCACCCTCCTCAGAAACAGACTCTGATCCAGATATGCTCATCCCGGTAACTCGAGGAAAGGTCAAAGAAGACTGTGGCTCCCAGAAAATCTTATCCTGCAGAAGCTTATTCTAGAATGCCACTTAGGCTATGCAAAGTGCCAAAGTGGCAGTATCTTTTTGTCCCCCCCCCTTCTGAGGATTGAACCCAGGGGTATTCTACCACTGAGCTACTTCCCCAGTCCCTTTTTTTATTTTTTAGTTTAAAACAGAGCCTTGTTAAATTGTCCAGGCCACCAAGCCCAAGAGCAGAACCCTTTGAGGGTGTATGACAGGGGCTGACTTACGGCAGCCAAAGGGCAAATCTGGCCTGCTCACTGACGTATAAGACCTATGAGCTAAGAATGGGTTTTACATTTTTTAATGGTTATATTTTAAATGACTAGATAAGTACCTACATAATATCCTCAATGTTATACTTTTTTTGGGGGGGGTGGGGGGTGCTGGGGACTGAACCCAGGGCCTTGTGCATGTGAGACAAGCACTCTACCAACTGAGTTATGTCCCCAGTCCCCTCAATGTTATACTCTTAAACATACAAAACCTACTTAATAACTCTCTGACCCTCTCCACTTGTCTAGCTTTCAGGCAGGAACAAAGTGGCAAGCCCTGACCTAAATAAACTCTCAGTTCAGAGACCCCCAGCTGCGGCCCAGTTGTCTGGCGCCAGGCGGCAGCGGGCTGGCCCTTCTGGGAGCCAGCTGGTGCTCCGTGTGGGGCTGGGCTGCGCGGAAGTCCCCCAGACCCTCATCAGAGCGCCCCTGCGGCTTGGGCGGTGGCTGCGCGGCGCGGACAGCCCCAGCGCTCGCGGAGGCAGAAGTGCCAGATCAGGGCGACGCAGCTTAGCAGAGCCAGGGCTGTGCCCACCCCCACGGCCGCGTGGATTAGGGTGACCGGTCTGGGTGGCACGGTGAGCCGGCCGCAGGGCCCGAAGGCCGGGAAGGATACCTCCTCGAGGTCCTCCCCACCTGCCTGGGACACGCGGCTCTCCCCGGCCTCATTACCAGCCACCACGCAAACCACATAAGCGCCCCCAGGCTTAAGTCCCTTCAGTTCTGCTCTGCGGACCGTAGTGTTGAGTAGGGGGCCCTTCTGCGGAGCCCCGCTGCCTTCCCAAAGCAGCAGCCGGTAGTGGTGGACCGGGGAGGAGGGGGCACACCAGTGGACCTCGGCGCGGCCCTCTTCGGCCACAATGCGCACTTCTCCTAGGCGTGGCGGGTCCGGAGGCCGGGCAGGGCTGGACAGCCCCGGGCACAGGCAGGCCACCGGCCTGGCCTTCTGCAACTCATTGCAGGGCACCTGCAGGTGGCGGCAACGGTCGTAGTCACAGGGGACAGCCAGGAAAGGTGTGCTCACCGTCTCATCTTCCTCTTCTTCCTCGAAGTCTTGAGGAGTCAAGGGCTGAGCTTTGGGAACCGACAAGGTCAGGGCTAGGAGCCACAGAAGGCAGAGAGAGCCCAGCATGGAGTCTGGAAGGGAAAGGGTGAATAGGTAAAGGCTGTCATCCGTGCCTTAGGGCCCCTGCCTGGATAGAACCCAAACACAACAGGGAACCCAGATGATAAAAGAGGTAAGAAGAAGACCAGCTTCTCTTGACAAATGTTCCAAGTTACATGTTTGATTTTGGACAAAATGAAGCTATGGTCTGATATGTATCAGAGAAACACATGTGAGCAGCAACATTCGAAGTGCTAGAAAGTTAATGAATAAACAAAATGCTGGGAGGAGAAGGAGGGGAAAGGATTTACTCAGCCAAGAAAGGTGGTAGAATTCCCAGCTGCCACCCAGAGAAAAGATCTAAGTAAACCGAGGATCAGTCAGCAAGACATGCAAAAACCCAACAGGAAGACAAAGTGAGAAAAGACAAAACCGGAGGAGGAAACCAGGATCCTGGACTCTTCATTCCCCACCTGTTATCTGTGTGAATCCTGTCCAAGGAGTCCAGGACCCCACCTGATCGCTCTGGCCCACAGCAGCCCCTCACTAGCGGGAGACCTTGAGGGAATGGGAATCTGCAACCAGATGTCTGGGGCTATCAGGTTGAGGAGTCCTGAGGATAGTAGGCCGCGCTGCCTGCACTGTCAGTTTGTATCTTCAATTTTCTTTTGGCTGAAAGCTTTTGTACCCTTCAACTCTGATGTCACTACCTGGCCCCCTTCTCCACTCCCCTCCCCACTGAGTGCCAAGAAGAGGGCTGGTCCGCTCAGAGGGCCTGAGTCACGGGGCCAGGGTGGGGAAAGCCATGCACAGCAGTTTCAGCTGGAGCTCAGGATGCCTGGGTTCTGACAGAGGAGTGGAATGTGGAAAGTGGCCAGGAGCTGAGAATCCAAAGGCTGAAGTCATGTGAAGGGATGGGGAGGGAAATATTGGAGAGGGCCACCTGGCTGGTATAAGAGAGGAAAACAGCTGTGGACAGCATGGGGCCTGGGTTACAAAACGCTGTTTTGGTAAAAATCATACCACATGTATGGCAGTCATTTCCTGTCTTCTGTCTCCCAATGGACAGAGATGGGAGGGGTGTAGGGGCCAGAATGATGTATTCTAGCTCTTCAGACCCGCCCTAAATTATCCCCCTTCCATGAGACAAGTCACATGGATGAAGCGGGAAGCCTGCTAGTGGCCAGGATAAATTTTCTCCTTGTACTTCTTAGACTGTGGAAACAACTGCGCCTGAAACAGTCCAGGTCTGCAGGTCTTCCTGTGGGGCAGAGTTCCTTTAAGGGGCAGAGTTGAAGGTGCCTGGGGCACGCATGGCTGGCCTTCTTTCTTTGGGTAGTGGAGATTGAACTCAGGGATATAGCTCAGTGATAAAATGTCCTATCTTTTTTTAATTTTAATTTTTTGGTACTGGGGATTGAACTCAGGGGCACTCAAACACTGAGCCACATCCTCAGCCCTATCTTGTATTTTATTTAGAGACAGGGTCTCACTGAGTTGCTTAATGCCTCACCATTGCTGAGACTGGCTTTGAACCATGATCCTCCGGTCTCAGCCTCCCAAGCCACTGGGATTACAGGTGTGCGCCACTGCGCCTGGCTTTATTTTTTGAACAGGGTCTCTGTAAGTTGCTGAGGCTGGCCTTGAACTTGTGATCCTTCTGCCTCAGAGTTAGAGTTGCTGATCTACAGGCTATGTCTCCATGCCTGGCTGGACACAGGGTTTCAAACAGGCCTAAATCTACTTCAAAAGAGTCAGGAAGCAGCTGGCACAAAATAGTTTATTGAAGGGAACACAAGGGGAGATCCCAGGTGGGAAAGTGCTGGAATGTGAGGAATCTGTCCTCTTTTCTTTAGGAGCTGGAGCAGGTGGGGCGCTGTCTCAGAGCACCCATAGAGGGCTCAGAGCTGCCCAGAGTCTCAGGGGCAGGGGCAGGGGCAGACGCAGGGGCAGAAGCAGAGGCAGAGGCAGAAGCAGGCAGGTTGGCGTCAGTCAGCAGAGCAGCATCTTCCCAGGAGCCTGAACCTGGGCCAGGAAAAACCAAAAAATCTCAAATGCGATATCAAATTAACCCAGGGTCCTACTCCATCCAGCCCATGCATTCCAGTGTTGGGGACCGCAAAACAAGTCAAGATGGCGCCTGGCAGTTTGCCAGGAGGAGTGGTTTGTGAAGCAAACCACTCCAATAAGGAATCCCCACCAAGCCATTAGGACGGTGGGGATTCCTTATTGGCTGACTGCTGTATCTAGATGATGCTAATTGAGTCAAGCTGTGTGTAATCAGTTAGGTATATATACCTCTGCTGTTCTGCAATAAAGCAGCTCCCGCTACCTTGGGTGCCCGCTACCTTGAGTTCCCGCTCAGTTCCCGCTGAGTTTCCCTACAATAAAGCAGTTCCCGCTTCAACCTTCAAGTTGCTTGTCACCTCCCGGTTATTTTGCCCAGCTGGACTGCGGCATCCCAGGGTGCCCCTCACCATCACTGGCCTCCCGCTCCAGCTCCTCCTCTCCACTCAGGGGCTGCTGGTCTGGCTTCTCCTCCTCAGACAGCTGGCCCTCTGTGGCCAAGAGTAGGGCTGAGTCAGACCCAGATGCTGAAGGACAGGGCTGAGATGTCAGGAAGGAGGGATTACTGCTGCACCATACCTGTCCCTGAGGGATCTTCAGGGCTCTCACCATCTTCTGTCACATCTGACAGTTGAGTTGACTCCTCCTGTCCTTCAGGCCCTGCTCCTCCAAAATAAGTAGAGGACAGGATGGGTAGGGTGGCTGTGCCTAGAGGGCAGTGCCTACGTCACCTCTTTCAGCCTCCTCTTCCACCCTTAGCTCAGCATGTGAGTGCTTTTATGCCTCACACTGGAGGCAGGCAGCTCTGCTTGCCTAACCACCTCACCTCCCTAACAGCCCCTCAAACAACACCTTTACCAGGCTGATGAGTAGAGATCCTTCGTTGGCCTTCCTTCTGGGAAGTCTCTCTTTTTCGGATATTAACCTGTAGAAGAGAAAGGACTGAGCAGTGAGTACTGACTTTCCTCACCAGAGATGTCCCTGCCCACCCAAATAAACATCCTCAAAGGAAGAAAAAGGGGTCACTGCCCCTTGCAACCTGCAAAGAGAAGCGATGTCGGGGCCAGATGCCCCCCCACACCCACTGCATGTAGCTGAAGAGCACAATGACGCTGAGGAAGGTAAAGTTGCTGGCAACACCTATGAAGGCGCAGGTCATCGGGAAGTTGTATAGCAGGTACCTGAGGCAGGAAATAGCAACAGGAGTGGAGCAGCCATTACCAAACAGCATCAACTTTCTAATTTCCCAAGCAACTCAACTGAGTTTGGTTAGAGCTAGCCTCTGCCTCCATGTTCCCTGCCCACCCCCTCCCAATTATCAGACCTTGCTGCATCAAGCACTAATAAAGACTAAGGACTCTGGGTAGTCTCAGCATTGCAGGGCCACAGGCAATGACCTTGATTTTGGCCAATTCTGCTAAGCAAATGAATCAAGACAGTAGCAGTGTATGTATAGTTTACCTTATTTTTGAAATGGGACTTTTACTATGTTGCTCAGGCTTACCTTGAACTTGTAATCTTCCTGTCTCAGCCTCCCAAATAGCTGGGATTTAGGCATGCACCACAATGCCAGACTCATACAGGTATTTTTGACGTTTCCCTGGGAGCCAATATGCTAATGTGCAGCAAGGGCAAGAATCTCTGGCCTTTGAAAAACTCAAACCAATGCTGCTCTGTTAACCTATTACCTTTACTTGGGAAACTCTTCATTTAAGGACAGCATCCAGGAGAGCTGTCAAGGTCTATTTCAGTGGTTCCTCACCTGAGCCCAGTGAAATGGGCATGGATGCGAAGGTAGGCTCCATACATCTGGATACGCTTGCTGTGGATCTCAATAATTGCTCCAGTTGTTGGCACATACTAAGAGGGGTGGAGAGAGGGCAGCATCAAGCCAGGGTCTTGATACTGTCACTCTTGATCCTACCAGCCCCATCTGAGGCCTGCTCTGAAACCAGAGGCTCCTGGAATACAATTCTGGGCTGACAAGAGGGCGATCTCCTGGTCAGCCTTCACCTCACTCACCGAGTTCTCTCTATAGTCCGCATAGAGTTCCACCTCCAGGAGCTGCTTCTGCTCAGCAAAGCCAAACAGAAGGAGGCTAGAGAAGACCAGCGTGTCAAGCATCTGGAGCAGGTCTGAGCGGTAATGCAGCATTACCTGCCAGGGCCAGGAGGCAGAAATTGGGGTCAGGTATCCAGGTTCCCACAGCTTTCCCCTATCCCTGAGCGGTCCATGCAGGCTGCTCCTCCCTCAGGCTCCCTGCTCCTCACCTCCACTTCCTATTCCCCTGTGTCCACTAAACCATTCCACCTACTCAACCTCTGCCCATGACTTGACCACATTTCTCCATTCCAGTACAGCAAAGGCCCCTCCTCTAAGACACCTTTCCAGGTGAAGTGTAACATTGTCTCTGCCTTTCCCCAAAACAGTTCTGTCATCCAGGATGGGATCCAAACCCCAGCACATCATCTGCTTTCCCCCAAGACAGACATTCATGATGAGGTTCTACTGACAGTTCATGCAACAGTGAGATCCCAATGTTGATTAAACATCTACCATGTGTGAGTTAAGAACTGCATTCACATTTCCTCCTACAGTACTGATCGAGGCAGTTACTATGGTACCCATTTTATACTACTTTATGCCTCATGAGTTGTCTGATGTTCCGTGGCTGGCATGTTTCTGGTGAGGATCTATCCGCATGGCTCTAGATCTGTTTTCTGAGAGCTGCTCCACTCTTCACGTCTACTCCAAAGCTGGATGTGCTCATGATGTGCTAGGGAGTTTGGAAAATGTTTGTCTTGGTAAGCAGATTTCTCCTCCCTTATCCTGACGTGTCCTCTGACCTCAGTGCCAAGATTTTCTCCTGAAGCCCTACCCAGATATTCTGACTCTGCCATCATTCTTCACAACTTCCCAGACAGGCCATGAATACTTACCGAACGGGAAGAGGTGGAGATGATTCGGCCACCTCTGGTGTAGCATGAAACAGTGACCAAAAACATGCCCAAATCTTGATTCACAGGAGACTCTGGCAATTCAAGCTCTAAGGTGATGCGATATGGCTGTCCATACATCAGCACCTGCCCAAAGTAGCCCCCATTTCATTTCAAAAACTGTTTTGTTTTTTTTTTAAATTATACTGTCCAAGTTCTATCTTCCAAATATTCTGCCACCCCCTTGGTTAGCCCAAAGGCCTTCCAACGGTTTGTCCAGATAAGGTGCTGCCCCCTTCTGGTGGCTGGGTACCTCCACTTCCATATCCTATTGGCTCTTCTGAATCAGTCCCAAAAGGCTCTGTCATATTTCTTTCCCAAAAGTGAATGGTCATGTTGCCAACTGGGCCATCTGTGACTCAGGCCTGTGCACTGGTGAGGCTGCCCCTCTTGGGATCAGCTGCCCTCAATGTTATTAATTAACCAAGCACCAGAAGTGCTCAGCCTCCCTAGCCAGCTCTCTCACAATCATTGTTAGCAGCAGCATCTTGATGTCATTCTGGGTCCCTAATCTTTTTTTTTTTTTTTAAATATACCTTTATTTATTTATTTAAAAGTATTTTTCTAGTTTTTTTTTTTTTAATTTTAATATTTTATTTTATTTTTTTTATTTCTCGGCGGACACAACATCTTTGTTTGTATGTGGTGCTGAGGATCGAACCCGGGCCGCACGCATGCCAGGCGAGCGCGCTACCGCTTGAGCCACATCCCCAGCCCCTTTCTAGTTGTTGATAGACTTTTATTTTATTCTTTTTTGTGTGTGTGGTGCTGGGGATTGAACCCGGGGTCTTGTGCCTGCTAGGCAAGCACTCTACCAACTGAGCTATATCCCCAGCCCTATTTTATTCTTTTATATGCAGTGCTGAGAATCGAACCCAGTTCCTTATACATGCCAGG